TATTATTATTATTATTAGCATTTAATATTTATTTATATTTAGTGACTTGGTGGACAAGATAGATTTTAGGGTTAGGATGTCTATTTAAAGACCTCTCTTATTTGTTATTCACCAGTTGAATATTGAATGAAATAAGATATCGTGTTTTCTTTTGGGAGAGTATCCCGTGTTCTGGAGAGAGTATCTCGTTTTATCCTTCTCATTCGTACGCTTTCCCCTACATCACAAAGTCTTGGAGATTTTAGGTTTTTGTGAGTACTCGGATTATATGAAGTGGTTTTACTTATTTATTACGGTTTATCTTTTGTTTATGATTTTTTATTTATTTATATTTATTTCATTAGTATAGGGCTTTAATACTTGTGATTGACTTTAGACCGAGAGAAGATAGTTCATTGCTATAATTGAGAAATATATAGCATTAAAGACTAAATAAATTGAGAGGTTGATAAATATTGCGAAGATTTTAGAATCTTAAGAACCACCAGAGTTCATCGTTCATCGTGAGACTGGGAGAGGGGATTGCTATAAATTAATCAACGATTTAACTTATTGGATAAAGAAAATTGGGTTAATTTAGCGATTATTCCAATGATTGGTAGAATTAAATATATTTTGAAAGACTAAACAACATCTTTGAGAATAATTCCGACAAAAACTTAGTTTAGAATCTATTTTTCAAACTTGATTTATTCATAATTTAGGATAACCTTTTGTTAATTGTTTTTACGTAGAATTAATTCATAGTTATTTAATAATTTAAAATTAATTCTTTCATCCAAATTTGCATTAGTCTAATTACATTTAATTGTTGTTATTTTGATATTTAATTATTTTAACAATAATATATATATGTGGAATACGAATACGACCTTGCTGCTAAACACATACTCCTATTACTATTAGGAATAGAATATGTTGCGTGGTCACTGGTCACACATGTATATATATATGTATATGGTATTGGCAAGACCGCAAGAGCAAGCAGGTGTACTTTTCTTGATCTGCAATGTCTTACATGTTGTCGTGCGTACCTTGCCCCAAAAGGGCACGTTACACTTCGGCCGCCGGAGCTGACGTGGATCACAAAGTATCCTCGCAGCCGCCAGTCTTGTCCTCCTGCCGCTGGGCCCACGACTCTCCAGTTTCCGATCCAGGCGAAACTACTCCGGCACTACATCTGCCGACCCAAACGCAATCTGTCGATCCGCCGGGAAGGATCACCGTCGATAGCATCGACGAGGAATTTACGATATTGAATAAGGTGGGCGAGGGGACTTACGGCATCGTGTACAGAGCCCGCCGCCGGTCGACCGGCCAAATAGTGGCACTCAAAAAGGTCAAGACCTCGACAGCCACAGCCGACGACTCGGAGGTCGAAATCCTATCGTCCCTAAACCCTCACCCCTCGATCACTCGTCTCGAGCAGGTAGCGGTCTCGTCCCGCGGGCCCGTCTTCACTGTCATGGAGTACGTGGAGCACGAAGTCCGAGCCCTACTCGCCGGCACCATGAAGCAACCCTTCAGCCCGAGCGAGGCCAAGTGCCTTATGCTCCAGCTCCTGCTCGGCTTAAACCACCTCCACCAAAATCGCGTCCTCCACAGGGACCTCAAGACCTCCAACCTCCTCTACAACAATCGAGGTGAGCTCAAAATATGCGACTTCGGGCTGGCCTGTCGGGCCCACGGCCCGTCCGGAGACTCAGTCCCCCACACTCAACAGGTGGTCACATTGTGGTACAGGGCACCCGAGCTCCTTCTCGGGGCCCGGAGCTACTCCACGGCCATCGACATGTGGTCCGCAGGTTGCATCATGGCCGAGCTGCTTTTGGGGAAACCCCTGTTTGATGGGAATACAGAGATTGATCAGCTGGCGAAGATTTACGGTGTGTTGGGAACTCCGGACGATAGGATTTGGCCGGGCTTTTCGGAGCTGCCGGGTATTGGGCCCAATAAGGTGAGGTTTCTTATCGGGCAGAGGCAGAATAAGTCGTTGAAGCAGCTGTTTCCGAAGATGTCGTTTATCGGGTCGCCAACGCTTTCGGATACCGGGCTCGACTTGCTTAACGGGCTCCTCACGTACCATCCTAAGAGACGGATGAAGGCAGGGGAAGCTCTGGCCCACCGCTGGTTTCGGGAGGTACCTCTACCCAAAGATAAGGACTTTATGCCAACTTTTCCTCCGAAGCATTGTGACCGCCATTTTTAGGCCGATAATTTTACGTGTTTCCCTTTCTTTGACAGATATGCATGTATTTTGTGACGATGTACAGAGTGAACGGTGTTGGATATTTGGTGTCAAATTACACGGTAATCCTACGAACTGATATGTATTTTCAGTT